CTTTCCACAGTATCACCGTATTCCCACTTGACATAGGTATCCACCCGTATGAGTGTTCCGTTCGTTTGGAATTGCGTGGAAAACTAACCCTAAAGACAGAACCCCCATATATTCAATACAATAGCATTTTTCTGATGAAATTGATATGGAAATATTGAAGAATGAAGGATTTTATATCAATATCAATCACAACTTACCGCATTTTGTAATTTAAAATCTAATAAACATCGCTTCAAAAAAAACCCGTCAAATGGCACGCGTAACTATCAATCGCCGCAAACTGGCTGCTGCCAGGATTTTTCTCCAATATTCAGTAGGAGGTAATCGATCAGATTTGTGATGACATCATGAGGAGGGATATAAACTTAATTTAGAAAAAAAAATCAAATCGATAGCTTGGCCAAAATTTGAGAAATCTCGTAAAATCTGAGAAATGTTCCGTTCTTGGGTAGTGTTCCGCATATGGGCAGTTCACCCTACTAAAATAATTCGAGTTTTGCAAAAATATGAAAAATGCACTTACGTATTTGACTCATTTTCTCATCGCCTATAAAGAGGCAATAATATTCATCATTACATGTAGAATCTACTCCTAATTTCATCATCAACTTTGGTGATGGTCATATGCGCATATCAACTTCAAATTTCTCAGTAAATTTGGAGCAAATTTCGTTGTTAAGTTGACAGTTTAACATCAAAATATACCGTCCTTATGTCGTCAAACTGTCGAAAAATGATCTTAAATTTATCCAACAAACTTAGCCAAAACTTGTGGATAAATTCTAGCATATCGGATAATTTTGCTATCTGGGACGCCATCGTGCTTCTCTTATGGCGCTCTAATACTCGGACGGACCCCCACACCGCTCACACCGAGACGATTCGAGAAAAGAGAAACAGTTACTAGAGAAGAATTGGCACTTGCTTCTACAATAGTGAGAGGATAAAGCCATTAGGATCAGAAGAAGAAGAAGAAATCCCGACTGTACACTGATTAAGGATAATCGGCCGAGCTGGGAGGGTTGGAAAAAAAAGCAGCCATTTTTTTTTACATATTCTTTAAATGATGGAACAGTCGTGTACAAAGGTTCAGACTGCTGGGGAGCATGGTTAATTTATTATGAATTTTTGAAAAAGTGGTCATTTAACCCGTGATCTTGTGGAAATTATCAAAAAAACTGCAAAACCCAAGGAAAAAATGCAGCCAAAGTCATGAAACTTTAGACACATTTAGAACATGTGATTAATTATTTTTTGAGTGAAAAAGATTGTCGCCTAGGAGCATTGTTCATTAATAATCCTATTCTAAAAAGAACATACACTTAAAGTCGATAACTATCGATATCTCGCAAGTCTGTCACGCTTATTTCTCATTGGTTCCAGTCGTCTGAGGCGGCAAATTTAATTCATGATTAATTTAATTTATGTCGCGCCGTGCAATAAGTCGAGTTTATCGCACGCTGCGCTTCGCGCAACCTGCTCAAAACTCGCCTTCTGCACGACTTGACATAAAATATTATAGAGCACTCGGTAATAAATTTCGTTTTCAACGAATGTGTGTACAGACCTCGCCTTCGGCTCGGCATTCGTTGAAAACGAAATCTGTGCCCGTGTACTCTAATGTACTATTTGAAATTTTCAATTATGATTGTTACAATTACAGCGCGCTGTAGCGCGCGGTCGATCTCGTAGCGAAAAAAGTACTGAAAAATGAAATTTCTGCACACGCAGCCCAAACGAGCAGCAACACGTTCCAAGTACCGATCGGGTGGGGCTAGCGCGGTCACTTTACACGTCTCTTGAGAGCAGGGTTGGGCAGATATAATACCTCTGGTATTATACCTAGTTTTTTAGATGTAAAAAAAGAGGTATTATACCGGAGAGGTTTTCTACCATTTATACCACATGTAGCACCATCTCGCGCCATTCGCTGAGACTCATCTTTTTCGGCGCGAACAAAGTATGCGCAGTCACGTGGGTGTACAATAACACCCCTTATATTTCTGCCGGTTTAATAACATTAAAATTTATAATTGCTTAACGATAATTATTGAAAAAAGAGGAAAGATGGTCTCAGGTGGAAGGCCTAAACATAACTTTTGGGCGGAGGGTGATTTTGAGAGACTCGAAGGTTATCGATCAAAATGCAAAGTGTGTGGCAAAACCTGGGAGAGCACAGCACAGGAGAGGTTAAAAGCCCACAGGTATAGAGTTTCAACTACCTTTGCATTTCGCAGCTATTAACTCGGTCATAATAATTGATAATAGGAATCGATGTGCCTCTAATATAATAAGTCAACACAAGCATAATTCCTCGATTCTCTTGAACTCTTTCATTTTAGAAAAAAATGTTCAGCTGATGGATATTTGGACACACTTGAATCAAGTACAACAGGCCTGCGCACTTCTGAACATCAGAAAGGTCCCGATGATCCTGAACATCACATTCCTTTGGATAATGTCCCTCAAACAGCATCCGGATTGCCTGCGACAACATCTATTCACACTTCTAGTCCATCATCGGCTCTACCAAATCGAAAACGTAAGATGGGCAACTACATCGACAGTATTACTGAGAAACAGCAGAAAGATATCGATCTCGCTCTAGCTAGACTCATATACGCTGAGGGTTTATCGTTTCAAATAGTTGAATCAAGCTACTCCAAAGCTCTGACTTCCAAAATGAGGCCGTCTTACGTTCCCCCGTCCATCGAAGCTCTGGCTACGGATATTTTACAAATTGTCCATGACTCAGTTGGAAAAGATCAGAAACAATTAGTTTCTTCAGATTGTATCTTTATACTCTCGAATGTCAAACTTGATCCAGAGCCATTTGGACAATTTGCGGGAATTATTGTAACACATGAGAATAAGACGATGTTCCTCAAAACCTGGGATATTCAAGGTGGACAGCAATTTCAATCTCTCGAAACACAGATAATTGCTGAGGCAATAGAGCTGGCACGAGAGAAACATAATATGGAAATATATGCTGTAGTCTTAGGAAGCAAGGCGATGGATTCCAGTGTAGAGAAAGAACCACAAATTTGGTATTTTATTGAGACTGGTGCATGGATCGAATTGCTGGCTCAGTCTCTCGACCATACGCACCAATGCAGTCAACTGAAAAAAGTAGTCGCTGAATTGAATCAACAATTCATCCAAGATGACATCGTCGATCGTGGAGGAACAGTTCTACCATCCCTTCGAGGGGATTTTACTAACTCTTGGCAATAGCGAAGACAGCTGTATTCTTGGTATGTTCAGAACTTGTCGATCTTGAAGAAGCTTGTAGGAGAGGACAAAATCAAGTTGCGAGGTAACATACCAAAACTGTTCGATTCACTTTTCGAAGAACACGTAAAGAATTCCCTCGAGGAGATGACTGCTCTCTTCTCTTTACATGAACGATGTCAAGTAGCTCAGATCAACATGGGAGAGTTGGCTGAAGAGTGGCTTCTATTGGAGAAGTCACTGACTGATGTTAATTTCAATTTTGAGGAGGTATTGTCTCCAGCCATGCTTGCTGCGAATTTTTTTCACCACAAGTATCGTGGACATCTGTTCGTCGAAAATCAAACTCGAATGATACAAATGGAGCAGTTCATAGTAGAGGTGCTGTCTGAGGAGGGATTAAATGGTTTACAAAACACGAGGAAATGTGTTTAATGAATTATTCAAGAAGAAGTTGAAGTCATGTAAGTTGTTCTGGCAAATTGCTTCTACAAATTTTCCCGAGCTGGGGAAATTCGTTCTTAGACTCTTCGCAATCCCGCTGGTAGCCAAAGACCTTTGCCTGGAAGTGGTACCTTCCAATGATCTAACCCCCAATCGACACCAGAAGTTGAAAGAGGTGCATTACCATCTGAGAGTTCAAGATGTGAAGTAAAGTAATGTATGACTTGCGAAAAAAATTTCTTTAAAAAAAGAAGTTAAGCTTTAAACCAATGTATTATTTGCGAGACGATGTTCTTAAAACAAAAGCAGTTTAACTTTACGTTGAAAATATTCGAGTCTTCTGAAATTTAGACTGATTATGGATAGCTATTTGTTTAATAAGCTGAAGGTTATGGCGAGATATTCTCAGGAGGGAATACGTTATTTTCCCAGTTTTTTATTCCATGATGAAGCTTATTTCCGAGGAAAATACTAAGGAGTGGATTATTCAATGTCTTTTCTTGTTCTAAATGTTTTTTCAATATATAAAACTTGTTGGTACAATTAAGATTTTTTTATGTTAAAACAAACGTAAGTGGAGGATTTGATATTGTTTATCATAAACACCGTTCATTGATGAAGAGCAGAATTGATTGTTTGACAATATTCATGTATCGAGTACATGGAACCGACACGATGTTTTGTTTAGAAGTTCTAATAAAAATTATTCTCACAATGAAATCTACACTACATTATCAATTAATCAGTCCATTTCGACATCATCTTTGCACAGAAATTCGTCGATTTCTCGCCACCGAGGATCTTGCATTTTCAAATGATAATACACAGAAACCAATTTCATGGACCGTTCTACGGTGAGACGATTCCGAATGTCTGAGTGAATATAAGCCCAATTAGAGAACAGACGCTCAATCTGGGCTGAAGAGCTCGGAATATTGAGTAATTTTCTTGCTAGAGTCGATAGTGCTGGGTAATGCACGTGAACCAGACTCCAGAAAGTTTGAGGAGATTTAACTCCTTTTTTAAATAGAGTATCAAAAATCCCTTCCTTGTCCTGGAACTGCCTCAACCCTTTCAACTCTTCAGACCCTTCATTCACCAGTTCTTCATTTAAGAATTTAGAAACTGTCGTGTTGAAAGATAGCAAGAGAGCAAATCGTTTCCCTTGATATTGGGGATGTAAATAGTTTGCCACCAAAGCGATCGGCTGTAAAACTTTATTCAATCGACCTTCTAGAGTTTTATCAATCGAATCATCTTCGGTAGGAATGTTAAGTGTCATCCAAAATTCGACTGCGTCTGAGATGTTAGTTTCGGTCCTCTGGCATTTGTTCACCAGCTCACATACAGGGTCAAATAGCGCTACATAATCTTGCAATTTTCCGTCAAGTACTATTTTCCAATAACTTCAAGTTTTCTGGTTTGGGGGTGATGATCTTCTCGTGGACAATCTGGCGCATGATGTGTAAATTTTTGAGACAGCAACGCATGGTATCTCTATATGTACACCATCGTGTTTCACAGGCGAGCATAATTCTCGTACCACCACGTTTCTTCAATTCTCTCTCTCCTCGAGGGCTCTTGAATTCTCGCAGTAACTTATTGATAGATTCAGCGAACTCTTTTGTCACGAGAGACTTCAACAATTAATTTGCACTGTGAGAGTGACAGGTCGTATGCCAAATGTTCACCAGTCGACCCATGCGCATCATTGATGAGGCATTATCGGACACTACCGCGTAGATGTTGATGTTGAATTTCTCCTTAGCCATGATTGCAGCTTCATCAATTACATCGGCTGATGCATCTCCAGTTTCACTCAACTCTGTAAAATCCCAGGAATGGAGAAAATAACTCCTCTTATCGCTTGTGTAGATTGTGCAGACAACATTTTTGGTATTTGCAGAAGAATTTTTCCAACCGTCGATTAATAACACACCATCTGTTTCAACGCTGCATTCCAACTGTTTACTCATTTTTCCATATAACTCGTCCAAGAGCTTGGTGGCTACTTTTTTTCGTGATGGGATTTTATACGATGGATTGAGGAGATTAGCGAAGCGTTTGAAAAATTTTGACTCTACCACACTGAATGGCAAATTGCAGCCAGACAAAAGCTCCATTAAGGCTTCATCTACCTCGGAATTTAAGGCTCGTAGTGTGGACTTCTTGGTGGAAGAATTCTGTGAGGGTGAATCAATTTTCCTTCTCTTACCTCCAACCCCCAATGATGATGGATTCTGAGAAATCAAACATACGAGAAATTAATCACATCATTCTCTCTCTGTATTCTATTTTCGTCGTTAATTGTTGCAAACAAATATGGTAATTAATACTAGCAATACTCACGTTCGGAAATTTATCTTTAGTCGATTTATTACTCATTTCTGAGAATTTATCAAGACTTTTCCACTCAATGTAGTTGGCAGGTCAATGAATCTCACTTTTTTTTTAATGAAAAAAGTAGTTTTGGTTATCAAACTGGTCTCGTTCCGAGTATTCAATGTAGCTGTAAATTGCTTATTCAGGATTGTTAGGTTAGAGGAGTTTTATACCAATTTTCTACAGTTTTACCATAAAACGGTATAATACCGGTATTATACTATATACCGTAGAAAACCCCGATTCTCATGAAACCGCCCAACCCTGCTTGAGAGAGAGCGATGAAACGTTGTGATTGGAGCTCCCTCGAGCCAGTGGTACCAACTCTTGGTAAAAAAAACTACCGACGATGTTGCCACTTTTTCGCATGGATTAATATTTTTTCATTTATTAAACAAAAACAATTGAAAACTATTCAATGCGTGGAACAGATACAAATAAATTTGATTAGCTCCAAAACTAATTTTTAATCGGAGATACTCCCTAATATCGCCTGAATTTTGAATGCGAATGGGAAAAATGTTTTTGTACAGCGATTGGTTTTCTGCAGGAAAACACTAGAAACCCCTCCGCCTCACCACCTATATTTCCTCCTCGCCCGATTATCTTTAACCTTTCATAGAGCATTGATTAAAGCCGGACTGAAAACGAATTCGAGTCTTGAGAGGGTCTAAGGGTCTGTAGTATTATTATATTTGACAGAAGGAAATAATACATAACATTTTGATGACATTTCACGATGATAGTACTATAACATGAAAAAATTGAAAAACAGAATAGTGAAATAAGAAGTTTAAAAAAGAGAACCCATTGGGAAGCAAATTGCTAATTTATTAGCCTCAATTTCTATACTCAGTCATAAAAATAATGTCATTGTCCACTTGTTTTTCATTTTTAGTGGAATTAAGGCCATCGCCTGAGGAATTAAAAAGAATTAACGATGTATTCTTACATTCTTTCAATTACCGGTTGTTGGAATTTGATATATAGTTTTCAAAATTTGACAATGAGTTGTTGAACCATTTGACATCTAGCTGTCATTAACAGAAAGTTGTCAAAATTGAAAAAGAATAAAAATCCACTTAGGTATTCNTCAGCCATTCCTGGAGCAGTCGACGAGACCTTTGGCTGAATTTATTTTGAGTTTTAGAGCCCTAGGAAGCAAATAGCCACCTAACAGCCACCTAATTAGGTGGCTGTTAGGTGGCTGTTAGGAGAAAATTGATTATCCAATAGGTTCATATTGGCATTTTTTTTAATTAGTTTAATTCTGTACTGACCCAATTGCCCTACGTGAACAATGTTATCGCAAATAGATATGTAGGAGGAGAATGCTGCGGGTCAAATAGGGGCGAAGAGGGGCATCAAATAATTCGATAAATAAAATAATGGAATCTAAAAATTTTGAACTTGGAGTGAAGTGAGGGGAAGGGTATGTATACGGAGGGTTGAGATTTTCACCCGTTGATGGGGGGGGGGGCAGAATTTATATGAACATTATATATATTTTAAATTATGTTGAAAAAACAATTGAAAATAATGTTCTAAACAACTATCTGCTTATGCATTGATTTTCGAATTAAAAAATTAATTAATTCAATAGGTAAATTAATTTATTCACACGCTCGGTTTTGTTATTTGTGAAAAATAGACGCAATATATCCACAGGAATGAAAATTGAAGGAAGGTGAGGGGGAGGGGTCTGAGATTACATTTTTATGAATTTTACCTCTCCGGAAACATGCGCTGATTTTTTATAAATT